AAAAAAAAAAAAGAACAAAGCAGGTCTTCCTTAGGTCCCATGGGTGACTGCAGTTGTCACTCCTACTTGTAATGCTATTAGCAGCTGTTGTGGAGCTGTGTGACCCAGGTGATAAGTACAAATGGTAACAGGGCTTTTGACACCAATAGATAAGGTTCCAAGTCCAAAGGCTGTGTAAAATACCTTCCCTAAGTCCCCTAGGGCTTATGCATGCAATGCTTGGGTTTATGGTGCTGGTGTTCATGCTGCTGGAGGTGAAAGAAATGGAGGAGACCTTCATGAGTTGGGCAAGGATGATGCTAGGTCTTGTGGCTTTGATATCTATGGTTTTGGAGGTGCAGGGTATGGCTAGAAATGTCCCTCGATCATGTGGAGCAAGCTGCACCTTGAGGGCAAAGCTTGTGGCCTTGGAAGCCCCAGTCCTGGAGTTGCAGGACATAGATGAGTCCTTTCCCAGGCTCCCAGGTACAAACCTGGGTGATGCCAGGGATTTCACACCAAGAGATATAGCCCCAAGGCTGTGCATTAAGGAGGAGACTTTTCCTACTTTGCACCTGTAGTCTTGGGGCTATGGAATGAGGAAGAGATCTTCCTTACTTCCCAAAGGGCAAGTGCAGATGGTGGTGGTGGTGGTGGTTGGGGCTATCAGTAGCCATACTCCTGGAGCAATGTGAAGATCTTTCCCAGCTCCTAAAGAACTGGTGTGGGTAAAGCTGAGACTGTGCAATAGTAACTACAGTCCCAAGGTTGTGGACTGGGGACAAGATCTTCCCTAGTTCCCAATGGACAGATACTGGTAGGATTTGGACTTGTGACTGTTACAGACATTGGTTCTGAAGCTGCAGAATTCCTAGTGGGGTATCTTCTATCCAGGGCAGCACATACCAGTGTAAGGCTCTGGCAGCATCAGACCATCTTTTGAACCCTAAAGCAAGAGGGCATCTAGTAGTGGCTGTTGTAGGAATTTTGATTCTGGGAGCTCAGAAGGCCCAAAGTGATTTCCTCTTTTAGAGTACAGCAATCACTCAGATCAGCCCTCTCCCCAAACTGAATTTAAAGTCAGTAAGGACCTGTGGTGTTCTCAGCAGTAAGGACTGCCAATCTGCTGCCATGATGGGGGTTGCTGGCACTTACCTGCTTACCTGCAGGATATGGCTGGAAATGTCCCTCCATCATGTGGAGCAAGCTGGAAATGTGGAGTTCCTCACTTCTAGCCAGGGACCTGGGTTGAAATTGGAATTTGCTTTGCTCATTTCTCTAAGTTGTGAAATCAGTCAAGGTTTGGATACACCCAGACATAAATTCCTTAAATAGTCTTTCAGGAAAAGCATCCAGACCTTGCTAATGATACTTACAGTTTGGAACCAGTTTTTCAAGAGTGGACATGAGAAGTCAGATCATCTGGTCAATGACATCATAAGCTCAAACCTCTGAGCACAGAATATAACTTCTCATGGGGAAAAAAAGTAACTGTGCAGAGGTATGCCATCCAAGCAAGTAACTTCTCCTCCCCTCTCCCTTCCCATAAATTCCCCTGGTATCAACTGATTGGAGAGGCAGATCTGAGCTTCTAGCTCCTGGTCTGCTTACTGGTTGGCTGTGCAATAAAGCCTCTTATTTTTTTTTTAAATTTTTTAGTTATAGATAGACACAATATCTTTATTTTATTTATTTTTATATGGTGCTGAGGATTGAACCCAGTGCCTCACATGTGTGAGGCAAGCATTCTGCTACTGAGCCACAACCCTAGCCCCAAACCTCTCTTGTTTTTGCAAAATCCCGATGCCATGTATATTGGCTTCTATGTGCATTGGGCACCAAATGATTGCACAGTATCAACTCTGGCAACTCAGATGGGATTTTGAATCCTTGGTTTCTCTGTGACACCCTTGGCAGGAAGTGACTCTGGATGCTGACCTTCAGTGGCTACCTGGACTGATGTTACTCTGAACCTGCTGCTGTGCTGCTGGCCCTTGGCTCCAACTTCTTTTTTGTAAAAAGAAACTGCTACAAGACACTGCCGCAAGAACAAAATGTCTTTGGGTGAGCCTATTAAGGGTGATTTTGCTTGAACTGCCTCTCTGGTTTTGATTTTGGGGGTAAAATAATCCCTTCAGAAAACCAGCTATATTCTGGTCTCTGGGATTTGAGGCACAATGTTTCACCCAGGGGCTGCTCACCTGTCATATGCTCTGATCTGGGAGTGCACTCTTATTTAATATAACTATTATTTTATGCATTCTTTTGTCTATAGTTAATCTGTTTTCTTGGTTGTTTATAATTGGATTGATAGAAGCTAAGAAATTTGGTGGCTTTGGCAATAGTCCTATTAGAAATCTATCTGCAGGTGGGTCTTTTGGACACTAAAAAAGAGACAAATGCCCCCTCCATCCCATCTGGGATCCCTCAGGTGTCCAGAAACTCTACAACGATGTCAGTAACTTATCTAGGATGTGAAGTGGTCTTACAAGAAACCATCTCAGAAGAACATCCCATCTAGGAGGTACAATAAGGGAGTGGTCATCCTGTACCTTGTGCTACCCTACACCCCTTAGTGTTTGGGGCTAAGATGCATAAAAGGGGGCTGGGGTTGTGGATCAGTGATTGAGTGCTCGCCTAGCAGGTGTGAGGCCCTGGGTTGGATCCTCAGATAAAAAAAATAAATAAAATAAAATAAAAGTATTTTAAAAAAGATGCATAAAAAAGGATATCCAGCCCATTGATGACTCTAGGAAGGTAGACCCTGAAGCAACACATTACCAACCCAAAACATTGCCTGAGCACTGGCTCTTGGAAGCCTCTCACAAAAGGGTCCTGAGACACTGAGATGGTACTGGGCAGAATTTAACTCAAATACTTCAAGGTAAACTTCCCCAGAATTCTTGGGAATAGCTTCTGCAGGGGTTCTCATGGTGGCTCTCTTCTTTTTGGCAGAGTTTTTCTCTTGTATTTTTAACATCATTGAGCTCATGGTAAATCTTATGGCCTTTTTATAAAAAAGTGAATTCACTTTCGGTTCTGCACACCTAGTCTAATGTTTTGAGTGGCATGCCTAATTGAAAACTCTTTTGTATTTTTAAATTCACTGAGCTCATGGTAAATCTCATGGATAAAAAATTGAAGATCATTTTTAAACTGCAATTGTAGTGTTAAATATGTAAAGGCTTTTAGCATTTTCTTTTTCTCTATTTTTTAAAAAATGCCTATTTTTTAGTTTTAGGTGGACACAGTACCTTTATTTTACATTTATGTGGTGCTGAGGATCAAACCCAGTGCCTCTTGCATGCTAGGCAAACGCTTTACCACTGAGCCACAACCCCAGCCCCTCTCTGCCTATTTTAAATGTGTTGATTATTCAAGGTTGTCTGGAAGTTTCAGCCAGTCCTACCTAAAACGTAAACATCTAAGAGTTAACTTCTAGACTCATTGAGGACTGAGAAGAGGAAGAAAAGGTAAAGTTCTTTTTGCTGCTGTTGTTTTAAATAAGAAGCTAGGGGTATTTATTTACCTGAAAAATTTGGTCAAAGCTAACTTAAACTTTTGCCATAAGAACTTGTTTCATTTTGTCATGAATATAATTTAGATTCACCTCTTTTTATAAACTGGTAAATTTGTTACTACATTTATCTCATGACTAAAATGAAAGCTGTAAACCTTTTATTTGTATGTATGTTTCTGTGTGTTACCTTTGAGTACATGTTATATAGTGTCTACATGATTAAAATCTCCCTGTATTCAAACAGGTTTATAGATAAGTGAATGTACATAAAAAACTATTATCCAAATGTCTTTAGTTCAAAGTTATTAGCATACATTTTTACCTGGGTTTGCTAGTGGGATAGTGTTATATTTATCTTGGTTAGATATTAATAAATATAAAACATTTGAATCACTTCTAAATAAGTTAATGTACTGAAATACCAATTATTAGATATAAGTTTAAGCATTTCTTCACTGCTTAAGTTTTATAAAACAGGATAATACATATGGACCATAAATGTGTTTTCATAAGTTTTTGGTGTATGGCAAAGAAAGATTGTTTTCTTCATAGGACTTAATGATAAGTTACTAAGAGTTTAATTCTAATTAACATATGTAATTCTATATGCAAAGGACACACAAATAATGTGTTTTAATAATAAACTAAGAAAGAATAAAATATATTATTTTATTAAATAAAAAATTATTTAAGATGAAAAGGGATTTGGTGTGGCATAAAAATATTTATCTTAGAATTAAATGACTGGTTGAACTCAGTGGTAGAGCTCTTGCCTAGCATGTGTGAGGCACTGGGGTTCAATCCTCAGCACCAACTAAAAATAAATAAATAAAATAAAGGTGCTGTGTCCATCTACAATTAAAAATATTTTTAAAATAAAATGACTGGATTGTTTCAGATGGAAAGAAAATGAAAAGGCAAGACTAGAGGTTTAAGCAAATCATAGAGAACCTGAGCAGGTCAGAGGTTTATAAAAGGCAAATCTTAGAAAATGTGTGTGACCACGTTAGAAATGTATGGTAGTAGTTTGTGCTCATCTATCATAAACCAACCTGAATAGAATTCCTTGGGATATTTTATCATATGGACACTATCATGTACTCCAAGTAACACACAGAAAATATAATTTTAAAATTATATTTTTAAAAATTTGCACATTATATGTGGATATAAAATCAGAATCCAATTTTCTACATTTAAGGCAACAAGGATTTCTTAAAAATATTGACCTGTTCTTAATAAAATTTGTAAAAGTCTGATGATTCTTGTATAATGTTATCAGTTAATGATTGTTAGCTTAAAATGCTGTATGCAGGGTTGTGTGTGTGTGTGTGTGTGTGTGTGTGTGTGTGTGTGTGTGAGAGAGAGAGAGAGAGAGAGAACTGCTGAAGTCTCATCAAAATTCTCAGCATGGGGGGGCTGGGGATGTGGCTCAAGCGGTAGCGCGCTCGCCTGGCATGTGTGCGGCCCGGTTCGATCCTCAGCACCACATACCAACAAAGATGTTGTGTCTGCCGAGAACTAAAAAATAAATATTAAAAAAAAAATTCTCTCTCTCTCTCCTCTCTCACTCTCTCTTTAAAAAAAAAAAATTCTCAGCATGGGGTTTGGGTTGAAGCTCAGTGGTAGAGTGCTTGCCTAGCACAGGTGAGACGCTGGGTTTGATCCTCAGTGCTAAATAAAAATAAATAAAGGTTTTGTGTCCATATACAACTTAAAATATTTTTAAAAAATTTCAGCATGGCTTATCTGAAACTGTTTTCCATTTTTTTTTTTCTCTAAAGCATATGCGATCAGATTTATGGTTTGTTACTGGTCCCAGGGATTGAGCCCAAAGGTGCTTTACCACTGAACTACACCAAAGTCTGTTTGTTTTGAAATAGGGCCTTGCTAAGTTGCCCAGGATGTCCTGGAACCTGCAATCCTCCTGCCTAAGTCTCCTAAGTTGCTGGGACTGCAGGTCTGTGCCACTATGCTGGGCTAATCAGGTACTTGTAAATATAGTTTTCGGATAAAACTTATTTCATAATCAAATTTTTCTTTGATTGTCTTTGATAAAACGGCATGACTGTAGAAAATTATGCTTGTTAACTGTAATACAAACTGGATTTGTTTTGCTTGTCCTCTTTTGTTTTATATTTTTCTTTTCAGACTTTTGTAGTTATTGCCTGTCAAAATCCTGTAGAAGTATAATTTCTAATAAATTTGTACTGGCCCAGTGCTTTGAAATGAAGTGCATTATCTACAGAATAGACAGTTCATAATGAATTCCAGGTAAGCTAAGCCTGAGGATCATGCCTTTACTCTTTGCTGCTCCAGTGTGGCTAAGAGTCATGACACTAACTCCCAGTCATCATGGAACCATAGGAGGGACAGGTCCATCCCAGCACCGAGGGACAATCAAAATCTAACTATAGGATGGTCAATCAGCAAACCTTTAAGAGAACAAAAGAGGCAGTATGTGAAAGTTGTCAGAATCAAAATGGAGTTGCTTATGTATCCCTACCAAAAAGTAAATAAATCCAGAAAGTGACGAAGGAAGGTTCTTACATGTGATTATCTGATAATAACTATCATGAAAGATTCTGCAAGACCACAAGTTTGCAGAGGCCACTACAACCTTATGCAGAAAGTTATTCTATAGGTATATCTGCTCAGTAATTGTTCGACCTTGGATTGATGCCATTCATGAATCACTGGGCCAGGGATTATTGTTCAGAATATCTGATATAATCCTCACTTTTGTCTGTAAAGTTTTCCTTTGTCCATGTAGTTCTTGAATAACCAGGTTATTCTCAACTACCTACTAACCAAGCAAGGAAGAATACGCACAGTCATATGTACCACTTACTGTACTTATATTAACACTTGGGGAAAAGTAAAACCTGGCTGATAGTTATGGAAACTGGAAAGTGATCTCATTTTAAATATTCTTGTGAACTGTTAACTGATCTTAAGTTACTTTTTAGGAAAATTTTAGGAAAAATAAGAACAAGCTTTCCACTCCGTCCATATTTTCTGGAAAGTCTTGATCCACACTGACTACTGAGCCTGACAACTGGCAAAAGTGAGGTCCAATATGCAGTTGGCATAACAGTCCTGAAAATAAAAAGGCCCGCAAGGTCATGATGGAACCTATGGCCTGTGTATCCTTGAATAGAATTGCCCTAGACTTGCTTTATTATTATTTTTTAACTGGCCCCTCAAGGTGGAGACTATGCTATAGTAAATACTAGCTGTTGCATATGTATTAACACATCCACAGGTAGAATTAGAAAGAATCAAGATATTAAAGCTCGCAAAGTCACTGAAGGGAATCCCCATTCCCTGGCACTTTAGATTGGGCCCTCTTTCCATTTTCAGATATCTTAGCTTCCCATAGGGCTGAGTTTCTTTCTATGTTCAGTCCTAGTTTATAATGTTTCTTAGTCTAGGTAACTGATAGCCCAGATATGATGGTGGCCTTCCACTAATGATTCTTCCTCTAACCAAGGGACTCATTCCTCAATTCAAAACTTAGACCCCATATTACATGGTTTAACAAGAAACATTTAAAGCAAATATTCCCTGGCCCCCAAAGAAGGGGGGGGGGCTGGTCACACCCAGACATAAATTCCTTAAATAGTAAACTTCTCTTTCAGGAAAAGCATCCAGATTGTCCACTAACAATTCTTATAGTTTGGAACCAGTTTTTCAAGTATGGACAAAAGTAGTAGCAGCCAACTGTCTGTCAATGACATCACAAGCTCAAACCCCCAGGCAGAATATAACTCACTCCTGAAAAGCACATGACAATAAAGAAGCAAGCCACCCAAACAACAAGCAGCTTCTCCCTCTTACCCATATATTCCCCTGCTACCGAGGACTGATCAAGGAGGCAGATCTGAACTCCTGGTCACCTTGTTTGTTGATTGTGTAATAAAGTCTTTTCCTTTTGCAAAACCTGATACCATGGTGTTATCAGTGGACAGCAAGAAGCCCTTGCTTGGTAACAGTTCTTTCCTTCTCTCCATGCTGTTTAGGATTCTGATCCCCATTTTGCTGATTTCCATAGTTCTCCCTTAATCACTCTCAAAATAGTTTTTCTTTGCTGCCCTAATTGTTCTCTGTGGCAAGGTTGCACACCTCTACTCAGCCATCCTGGTGGCACTCACTGTGCTAATTAAACCTACTTGTCAGTAAAGTATAGGTAAGTCTCAATACACTGATTTATCCTAAATTACTTTTGTTCCCATTTAATGCCTTTGACTAAGAACTATACTTTTTAAAAATTAGGCTTCTGATATCAGACGCCAGAGTGCCAAGCTGTTGCATTGTGAGTAGCTGTCATCATTTATTTTGAACTTTCTCATTCACAGATTTTAGGTTTGAAGCATTTCAGCTTTGGAGGAGACCATAAAGATCATGCAGGTCCAAAGGTCCTCAGTCAAAGCCCACAGCTCCTCTACAGCCCATTCATACTCACCTTTGATTTAAAACAAAACAGAAAGTAAACAAATAAAACAAACCTTAAACCTGGGGGTGAGGGAAGCACCTTCCTCCCTAGGGGTCCATTCTAAGTTTGAGAAGGTGTTCAAACCTTGCCTTTCCGTTTTCTACCTAATGGTTTTATATGAATCCCTTTCAATATTCTGTGTAGACAGAATATTCCCCATGTCTCTTATTCCCAAGGATTTGTTTTCCTTTCCCTCATTTTTAGATCTACCTGGAAGAGAAGAAATGGGGTGGCTCAAGCCTCACGACTTCCGGTTCCTGGCCGTTCCAGACATACATGCTTGCTATCGACAAGTCTGAACTGTAATTGATGGAGTGCTTTCTCCTCAGAAAACAGCACAGCAACTTCATACTTCAAACCCAGGCTCAGTACAAAATTTGTTACCAATGATGAATTTCTTAGCAGTTGTCTGTATACTATCAAGAAATGGGATGGATTTCCTCAAGGATCAACAGGAGAATAAAGGCTGTGAGAGAAACATCTCCATCAAATATAATAAACTCTATAAGACCAAAAAATAGCTAAATATTAGTTAGTCCACATCTCCCTCATTAAAATTTCCACTCAACATGTAAAGGGCTATATTTATAGATTTGGGTAATCTATTTCCTTTAGTATAGTTTTTATTAATTAAAATCTATCCAAGCTGAGATTATCTGAAACCAAAGTCTTAGTTACAATTTTACTTTCAATTGTGGTATTTTCCCATTTCAATGGTGATTCTAACTGTTAATGTTCATAAATCCACAGGAAACATCAGGCAAGAACATAAGCAAAACATGACTTGAATCTACAAATTATACATTGAATTTGCCCCTTTCTAAAATTAAGACCAAGAAATACAAATGTAAAAAATACATCAGATTTAAAATAATGATATGTGTGTGTGTGTGTGTGTGTCTGTGTGTGTGTGTGTATGTGAGTTGCTAGGGTCTCATGCACACAAGGCAAGCTATATCCCCACCCCTAACTGCAGTTCAGAAGCCTTTGGAGTTCTGTATCACAGGGAGCCACATCAAATAACAGGCTATAAGTACTTTGAGAAAGAAAAGCACATAAAACAATTCCCATTCAAGAGATGGACATGGACAGATAGAATATGACATCCACAAGAGACACACCGAATGGAAAAAGCAGTACACAGAATATAAACACAAAATTCACATAAAAATAAGTTTTCATAGTATCTTATGTAGCCTCTTATAAAACTGTTGCCAAATACTTTTAAAATTAGGCCATATTTTCCCAACCATAAGCAAAAATGAAGAGTTAGTTCTAGATACTTGCCTTGTGAATTGGATGACATTAAGCTGAGAACCAGATGTTTTCCATCTATGTTTTAGATTATGTTAAATACAAAATCATTAGAAAACACCTAGATGATGGAGTAGTTTAACATATTTAAAGAATCAGATGACATGAAGATTACCTACCATCTTAGACTTTAGAAAATTTTAATGTATTTTTTATGTCAAAATTTTAAGTAGTAAAAAAGTTTTACTGTGAAATAAATTTTTTATTTTATAATATGCAACTCAACCTTCATAACCCAGAAACAACTTTCTGAAGGGTAAAAACTGCAGATTTCCCATATGATATCAAACTTAACAAAAGACTTATTTTCCTTGGGTTGAATGTTGGTATAGGTAGACAATAAAAAATATTAGTTGGGCTGGGGATATAGCTCAGTTGGTAGAGTGCTTGCCTAGCATGCACAAGACCCTGGGTTCAATCCCCAGCACCAAAAAAAAAAAAAAAAAAAAAAATTAGTTAATGTAGTTTATTACGTATTGTGTAGAAACTACTGCAGTTCATGTGCATGGGCTGAATTATGAATCGTCAATGAAAATAATGCTTTATATAATCATTAAAGATATGGAAGGAAAAGTCTAGAAAGGGAAATAATTAAAATGTCAGCATGGAATTATACTATATCAATCATAAATGTGCAAATCGGTAATAAGTTGTAATAGTAAAACAACTATGAGACAAACCAAAAAAGTTGTCATGGTCCATAGCTATATGACTTATCTTTGTTGAACAAATATCATTTTATAATAGGGACATTATATAAATTATTTTACAAAGTCTAAATTGACTTGAAAGATTGTTGTCTCTGCTAACATCAGATTCTTTAAGAAAAATCAAGGGATAAGCAATTCACATCAAGATCTTTATGAAAAGAGAGTCTGAACAACACTAGAGAAGAATTTGCTGTTTAAGTTACATATATTGAATGCTACCTTAATCAGGTCATGGTTATAGTGACCTAGTAATGAAACATGTCCTTTTGCTATACTAATCTAAACACACACATATATATGTATATGTATATATACACACAAATATATATTTTGGATGCTGGAAAACTCCAATTTAAAAAAAATTATTTTGTATATGTATATTTGTAAACATACACCCATACATACACACATACACATATATATCTCATTACCAACATGCAACTATCCAGATGTTTTCCTTATTTTTCCTACTTTATCAAACCATGATGGGCCTGTAGACTTTAAAAACTGCCCTAGTTCTTATGTTCTTTCTCTTTTTTCCTTTTTTATCATAATTCCTTTAAAATTCTCCTCTACTCGTTACTTGGGAGCTGAGGTAGGAGGATCACAGTTCAAGAGCACCTTTGGCAACTGAGCAAGACACTGTATCACACTAAAAAAGAACTCCGGATGTAGCTTAGTGGTAGAGTACCCTTGGGTTCAATTCCCAGTAATGGGGGAGGGGGGTTATTTAAGCTGGTGGAAGGTAATGATATTTAATTGGGAATTAAACTATAGTTACATTTACTTAAAGTATGAATTTAATTCCTTAATACAAACCATTTCTTAAGGAGACACTGTCAACTTTGCCATTATGTAATGTGATGAGCTAAAGCAAGTTACAGAGATTTGCAATTTTAGAACCTATATAACTTGGTAGGTATTTGCGTGAATTTGAAGTCTTAGCTACTTCTGTTGTAACATTCTGTGAAACTCTCACAACAGAACCAAAATAAATGAAAAATGCTGCTGCTTTAAAATGATGATTTAAAAACCTGTAGTATTACAAAACAGTGCAATCTGAGGTGGAAACTGCTTTTTCTATAAATGCCATTGTTTGAAATAGGTTTCTGCAAGAATCATGCTTCAGCAAGATTAATATTTTAATTGACATGTCTTGTTTAACTTAAGGCAAACAAACAATATAAGCCACATAGTTATAGATTTAAACTCTAGGGGTTGGGGATGTTGCTTGGTGCTTACCTAGCATGCTCGTGGCTCTGGGTTTGACCTTCAGCATTTCAAAAAAGATTTAAACTCTATAGATAAATCTAGAAAAGATTAACATAGAGGTGAATAACAGTTATATTTTCCTTAACATAATTTACTTTCATTCATTACCAGAACTATTAAAAATTAGTGGTTAGCGAAAGGTATATTTACATAATTTTCCCTTGAGAAAAGCAAAAAACTCTGTTAAGCTCATAAATACACCATTCCAAATTAGCTAATTTGCTGGTAACTCAATTTCTGTTTCCATGTTGTTGATCAAAAGATTTCACTGGTTCACGAGTATAAAGTTTAAAATAATATATCACTACTTTTAGATTTTTCTAAAATATGGCATTCTATATTTGGCATGCTACCAAAACAGTTGCTTTTAAAAATCTAAAAAGTCTAGTGACATTTTAGGCAATATTAGCATATTCAATTAATTTTTAACACTTAATTGAATTGTGTGCTATCTTTATGTAAAGCCTCAAATAAAGTTGGTGAATTAAACTTGGTTTTTGGATGCTGGCAAACCCCAATTTTAAAAATTTAGTCGAATTTAATAGTAGCTTGCTACCAAAATTCTCATTTAAATTTCATTAAATTTTTCTGCTCCAATGATACTTATGCATGTTATGTATAATATTAATTCTTGCATACTGGTATGTTTAAAAATAATTTTCATGCTTTAAATTGTACTCTGATTGCAGTTTTCTGAAAAAGTATACAGCAGCAGTTCAAATTTTAACAGCTTGTAAACTAATACATTTCAAACTTGCATTTGAGCATTTAATATCTTATTTTCAGTATCAACATGAAATTCCTTACTATGCTTGGATAGTAATATCACATTATTATGGCTTCTTGATTTCCACTTGGAAAATGGCATAAATAATTTTTTCTGACGTAACTAGAGTATAGATTTGCAGTGGTAAATGAGCAACATGTTTTCAGCTATATCAAGTTAAAGACGAATTTTACTGTAGTTAAAAATATTTGTAGGTTCTATTAAGCTCAACCATAAGAAAAAAAGTTATTGCCATAAATGACTTTGTTTTGCTTTAAAATTGTATGTGCCTTATTTTTGGTAAATTCCATACCTTTTACCTTGTCCTTTAAACAAACACATGGTTATAAGAAAACTATCTTCAATACCTCATCGGTTTAGATTTTAAATTCCACACTTTATAGCTATTTTCACTGAACTTTATTCTCAACACTTCATCCCTTTGAATACTATATAAATCATACCTGTCAGTAATAGCCATTAGACTCATTTCAAAATTGCTGTTTTTCTTTTCTACCAAAGGCATTCTCTCATATGTGATAATCACTTCAAATTTCCTGAGTTCAAAGCCCTTAGTCTTTTCACTCTCTCACAAGGATTCCTTTCCCCATCACCTGCCAAGAAACCTTTTCTGATTCTGAAGTTGATCTTAGGGCATGTTTCAGGTGTGAGACTTTCTGTAACTTCATGGAATGAGAGTTTCTGTAACTCCTCACATTGAGTTGTACAAGTAAATGTGTACTCTCCATCTAAATCAAGATTAAACTGATTAACTAGAATAGGTCTAGATGAAGAATACACATTTACATGTATATTACTGTTTAGCAACTTTATTCTTATTGCTTGCAAAACTGCCACACCCTTGAAAATTAAGCTTAAATTGCCTCTCCTAGGTGAAGAAACAGAACCACTCACATTCCTATGTCATTAAATAGTTCCAAAATCTAAAATGAAAGTAAATGGCTCCAAGGCATACTTCCACAAAGAATCTAATATTCATTTGTTATCTTGTCCATTATATAGTAAAATTCTATTTCTTAGGAGTATAAAAGTAATTTTCATCTCAATTATGTTCATGTTGGAATATTATTTAATGCAAGTCTTAAGACCAACCCTGTTAACTTTTAAGCATTTACTCTTTGATTTCAAACAAAATACAAAGGTAGCAGTAATTTGTAAGTTGTGAAATATTATCCATTTACATACACCTCTATTATGAAAAGATTATTGAAATTTGTCATTTATGATGTTAAAATATTAAAAAAATTTAAGCCATTTCCTTTCTGTTTTATCTCTTCTTGCTAATTCTAAATCAAAAGGTTTAACTGTTCATTAAGATTCAAGTTTCACGAAGTATGATATGTCAAGAGCTTTGTAATGTTGTGAACAACCAATAAAAAAAATAAATAAAAATAAAAATGCAGGAATAAAAAAAAAAGATTCAAGTTTCAGGTGTAAAATTCAAATATTAGCAAACACCAATAAGTTAGTTGAGACGCTTGAAAAACACACTATAAACTTTAAAATTTCAAATTTTAGAGAAAGAGAAGTTGAGATAAAAAATATCCTGTTTCCACATTTCCAAGCTGTAAGGTCCTCCCTGAGAATAATCTTAGTCTACTCTGATGATTAAAAAACAAAATAAAATCCCAAGATACAAAATGGAATTAAATGTTGTGGCCTAACCAGATATTTCTAGTTAGTTACTTTGATACAAGACTTGTTAATATTTTCATAGCAAAAAGATTAAGAAGCAAGCAAGACAGTAGTTGTAAATGTTGACTGGGCTGAAATATGGAAGTGACACCTGGGAATGGTTATATTTTTGGTTCTCTTCCAGGCAAGGAACAACCATAACTAGGGTCCCCAGTTTCTCTTTTCCCTTTAACTCCAAAATCTCACCCTGTGAACAGATTCTTACATCTATCTATTCTTACAATCTGTCTCCCTGACCCCAGTACAACCAAACTCCAGGGAGATAGAGCACCTGTATGTGACCTGTCCTGAGAGTACCAACAAATGGAAAGCCTCATGGAATTCGCCACTTAAGAAAAAGAATGGTTATTGTTATTTGCAAAGGTTTCTGCAAACACAACCCTGACAGTGAAGTCCTAAAGCCGCAGGACAAACTCAAACTGACGGGAAAATCTTACCCTAGCCTCTACTACAAATCTGACCTTGCCCTACTTCTATCCATGCACCCAATGCTTGCCATGACTTCGCAAGCCAAAGAAGCCGCCGACACATGCAGCACACAGGAGCCATCAAATTCCCAGTGAAACCTGACCGCTTTGTAAAGCCTCCCGGAAGAAGAAAAGATCAAATGAGATCTACTCTGCGGGGTCTTCCTAAGGTGACCCTAATGTATTTATTTTCACGCTGCAACTGCTGGTCGCTTTACAGAGACATATCATGCTGTAGCTCTGCGTGTAGCTGAGGACAAAGAAAACATTTTATTAATGTTATAATTATTATAATTATTCTTTAACAAAGCTATTAAATAATCTGTACAAAGTCCGAATGGATCCTAGCGAAAACCCGAGCAATATTTAGAATCTCCCAAGGTCCTTTCGCTTTCATTCAGCAGCGTTTCCTATATACAAGGCCAGCTCTGGGTGTTACGTCCCAACTGTAGGTCTCCCAGATGGTGGAAATGATTCAAAGTTTAGAACCACTCCTGGGGTAACTCAAGATCCCAACCATGACCCAACAAGTCCCAGATCCCAACCGTCCCTCTATTCTAGGGCTAAGGAAAGTGGGAGCCCGGCTCTACTTTGAGAGGCGGACAACTGAAGTTCATCTACTAAGTCTGCTGCCCACAGACCCCGGGACCTCCGCAAGAGGTACTGAGAAGGGGGTCTGAGGCGGGAGTGACCTCGGGGCACGCCAGGATGGGCTCACAAGTCCCGCGGGTTCTCCCGCTTAACCCCGGTCTCAGCAACTTTGAGCTTCTTATTTTGGTGCGTCTTGACGTGCTTGGCAAGGTGGTCGCTCCGCATGAAGCGCTTGCCACACTCGGGACAGGCGAAGCGTTTCTCGCCGGTGTGAGTCCGCAGGTGCCGCTGCAACTCGTCTGAGCGCGTAAAGCTCTTGCCGCAAAAAAGCCAGTTGCACACGAAGGGCCGCTCACCCGTGTGCCAACGCAGATGCGCTTTCAGATGCGACGTCTTCCCGTACACCTTGCCGCAGCCCGGCACGTGGCACACGTGTTGCTTCTTCTTGCCCGGCTCCGCCTCAGGGGCGCCGCCCGCCGCCTGGCAGTTGGGGCAACGGCAGCGGCGGCACCTCCTGGCCGTGGCCGCCAGGGGGGCCTTGGTCTGCAACAACGCGGCGATCTGGCTCTGGTACTGCGCAAAGTCCGACGGGCCTAACACCAGGCCCCTTTGCAAGGCGGCGGCCGCAGCAGCGGCAGCGGCAGCAGAGGAAGGGAAGCGCGGAGCATGGGGGGGCCCGGCACAGGCGCTGGAGAGGCCGCCCCCCGGAACCGCAGAGGCCCCTGGCCCAGCGCCCGACTGAGGAATGCTCCACCACGGGAGGTCGTCGGGGGCCGGGTTGGGGGACAACTGGCGGCAGGTGGGCGGCGGAGGCGGTGGCGGCGGCGGGGGTAGGAGATTGGAGTACCCTGGCGGTAGGGCAGCCTGCGTAGCGTAGGGCACGTAGGCCGGTGCACAGCTGGCAGGCAGACCTGCCATGCTCGAGGGCAGCATCTTGACCGGCGAGAACTCGTAAGGATACGAGGGGTCAGCTGGGGGTGTGAGTGGTAGCTCGTGTGCAGCCCCAAAAGAAGGCTGCAGGTGCGTTTTCTGTGGCGTCAGCCCAAGGCTGGGATGCGGGGGAGGCAGCGCGCCCGGTGAATGCGCCGGCATGTCCGCGGTCCAGGGGTGGAAGAGCCTGGAGGGTGAGCCCAGCGCTGGGTCGTAGGGCACCTGCAGGAAGTCCGGGGCCGCTGCCGTGCCTGGCTGGCCGATCCGGCTACAGGTGGCGGCCAGCAGCGCCAGGGGCGAGTGCTTGCCCAGGTCCGGGGAGGCGCTGGGGGTGCGGTCCTGCATGGGCGGCGGCGGCGGGGGAGGGCAGAGAAGAGACAAAAGGTTAGCGCTCCTAGCGCTGGACTCTGGGCCGGCCCGCCACCCCCACCCCGGCTATTATACCTCCGCCCCTCCTCCGCCCGGCCGACCCTCCCCCGTACCTTACGCGCACACCCACCGGTCCCGGGAAACTTTTAGTGCCTGCGCTACCTGAACGCGGGGCGCGCGAGCGCTTCCTGCTAAACTACTTGGTGCAAAAAGACGCCATCCAGCCTTTAAGGAAGGCGCAAATAAGGAGGCGGAGGGATCCGACGGGCGGCTCCCGGGTCAGTAAGAGTCTGGGAACACCCACAGTCCCGCGGCCCATCCTCCCGCTCTCGCATCTTTTGAGCTTTCTTTTTGGCGCTACCCAGGCGCTCCTCCTCTGCCCGCCCTAGGCTGAAATCAGCAGGAGGGCCCAGCAGGGTGAACTGAGGCCCAGTTCTCTGTCACTCGCGCACCTCCGGACCCCTAGATTCACGTGCCTCCCCCCCACCAGCCACATTCTTGACACCAGGTTAGGTGTGAAGTTGATGTGGGCATCTCTAGGTCTGACTCCAGGTGCACCCGCCGATGGGACTCCCTTTGAGATTCAGGGTGCACAGAATATCCAGAAAGGTGGGCAAGGCACTTCCCACCTGTCCCCGCCCTCTCCCGGCCGGTCCCTGACCTGGAGGAAGGCCTGCAGCGAGTCGTTCCGGAGGACAGCCACGGCGGCCATGGCTACAGCTTGGAGGCCGCTCGCTGTGGAGCGGGGCGCCACCGCCGAGGCATGGACACCCGAAGGCGAGGACGAACGGCCGCCCAGCGTGCCTCCCCGGCGTCCGCTTTGCGTGCCGGGGCCCTCCCCGCCCGCGCCAGCTCGCTCGCCCCGCGCGCGGTCTGAGCGCTTCAGGATCACCTCCAAGAATTTGATAAGGACTTTGCTGGGCCGCCAGCCAGTCAGAGGGAAGATTTATGGCTTTGAAGTTTGCCGCTACCCAATCATCAAAGAATAGCGGCTCTTTCAGAAGCGAAAGCAAATCCTTTGAATCCACAAAGCTCCTATGGTGTGTTTGTTGGTCTGGATAAAAGAACTGATTATTAGGGGGGATGGGAAGGGAGGAGATAAAGGCGGGACAATTAATGAAGTAATCACTATGTGGGAAATGTATATACACAAATAATTGGATTTTCCTGATCAAAGGGGGCCTTGCCGCCTGGAGACTCGCGCTTGGGTTGCTCTAGACACTCGATCACCCCGCCCCCCACTTGCAATTAAAGATTTGCACCGAGGCAGCGCCCAAAGTGACAAAGTGTCTTTGTTATCTCTAGAAAAATCTGCCTTCAACTTTCAGGCGCGGGACTCTGAGACCGGGATGAGGATAACTCTTCCTGGTAATTACCCCGAACCAGCACAACACACTCACCCGCCCGCGCCTGCCGCGGACCGGAGCGAACTCCCGGGGCAGGGCGTGGGACCGACCGCACTCGGTCGGCCGCGTGTCCCCGCGACCGCCGCAGGCAGGGCCGTGACCCGGGGCGGGGCCAGGCAGCTGCCGAGGGCGGCAGTGGGTGGCGCGCACGCTCCAGGGCCGCCAGCCAGACTTGCTTTCTCATGACGTTACTGCTGGCGACCTGGAAGTTTTCCTCAGGCCACAACTTTTGCAAAGAGTGAGCCTGGGAAAAAAAAATCCGCGCCGCGCTTTACTAGCAGAGCTGGGTTTGGCAGGACTCCAGACCAACTCCGCTTTACCATCCCGCTCTCTCCAGGCAGACTGCCCTGGATGCTGAGGAGGGCCGGGCTGCATCGGACCGTTATTAGGCCCCACCGTGAGTCCACAGCAATGCTAGCAATTTCTCCCCGTGCTTCTCCAAGAGAGCACACATTGTTGAAAGCTGAACAGACTAAGGATATCAAGTACTCGGAAAAAGGCACAGCCAAGAAAGCCTTTTTGTTGTGGTGGTGGTGGTGGTTCAAAAAATCACAAATCATACAAGGGACACCCGTGGAGGGGAAAGAAAAGTCAATACAAACTCTTGTTCCTTCCATTTGTGGGAAAAAAGAAAGTTTTTCAGGTGCGGAGCGTGCTTCTCTCTCCCTGGTGCAGAGAAGCGCTCTTTGGGACATCTCCACCCCGCCCCCCCAACGTTTCTACCTACCGATGTCCAGCAAGGGAGGTACAATTGGCGGGCTGTCTGCCTCCCTTGGGGCGCAGAGTGCATCTTCCTGGGGTGGACACCCAGATCCGACACACTGGGTCTCGGAAAGCCAAAAGAGGAAGAGGCTGGCGGGGTCCTGCGGGGTTCTCGCCACAGCGGTGTTATTGGGCGCCAGGAACCGCCTCTGAGGCCTCGGAGCCACGTTTCACGTGCCTGCACAACAACGTGGGCCGCCTGGGCTTTGGTATCCTGATCCTCCAGCTGGAGGACAGTTTCTTCTCCCCAGTCTCCAGCTCCTGGGGAAAACCCGAACCAGAGCAGCTGGCACCCGGCCTTTCTGCGTGTTGTCCTCTGGGGACCACAGTGCGACCAGGACTGGCCTTAGAGGACCAACTAGCCTTATTCCCAGTGCAGTGCCAGAGGTTAGCTTAACTCCAAGGGTTTCGGAGTCTGGACTGTATATTGGTACCCTTCACAGTTCCATCAAGTGTGTAGACTCTTTGCCATCGGGAAAGCCCACATTCCCCCATGCCCGGAGAGCCAGGGAACTAGAACGATCTTACTGCCTTTTGTGGCCCGAATAGGATGAACCCTCTTCTCCTTTTCCCCAAGGAGACCTCATTTCGAAACTGTGAGCAATCACTCTAAGCTCGGAAACACGGCCTTGCTCCTCCTGAAAATGATGTCGGGGTGCTCTGGAAACGGAAGGGGAGAGGGCTTAGTGGTTTTGCCCTGGGGCTTGGCAGGCCTTCCCCTTCCTTCACAAGTCAGGCCAAGAAAGGTATCGAGTCCCTGAGAAACCTGGTACCCGTGGGAGCCAGAGGTCAGGGAGCCCTGTGATGCGCACCCACACTGGCACTCTGTGGTTGCTACTTCGCGCCCAAGCCTGGTACTTTGCCTGGAGTGTTTCCTTTCAGCAACTGGACACCCACACCTCCAACCATACACTCTACTTTTTTTCCCCAAATCCGTTTATTGTTTAGGTTATCTCAACAAAGTCTTCACTCACTGGCCTTTTACAGACAGCACTGTTCTGGCCCCCTCCTGACAGCTTTCCAATTGCCCACACCCTCCAAGTCGGTTTGATTCTTTAGTTTTTTTTTTTTTTTCTCTTGCTCCTTGGAACTCACCTTATCCAGGAAGTGGGTAGGTTGGGCTAAGCAGGCTTGAGAACATCCTCCTTTCTGTTAGCTATTTTACCAAAAAGGCTAGAAGAACCAACTCACATCTCCTTAGTTACAGCTGTTAACTTTTCTTCCAAGATACCCCATTAGACAATTAAGTCACCATTAGTGGCGAAAGAGCGGTGGCTAGATGATTGAAAGCTCAGAGTCTGAAGCCAGGTTTTCCCCACCTTGCCACTTTCTAGTTGGGGATCTTAATGTTAATAAGTCTTATAGTGCCTCAGTTTACCCATCTGTAAATGTGCTGCCTCTGTAGAGTAATTTTGAGCTTAAAAGAGCCACTGTATCTTTAGGACAGTGCCCAGGCTCACAGTAGGACCATTCTGGAGCATTCGCAGTCGTTGCTCTTCTTCGTAAAAACTCTCGGGGGAGTCCAGCCCTCCCGGGCCCTAACTGAAGTTTGAAGAGAGATTTTGCTGAACTGCTTGTTTAACCTCCCTCCCTTCGCACCCGGAGCTCCAGAAAAACTTCTTCCTAATGAAGTAATGTTTGGAGCGTCCATTAAAAATGCAATGCCGGGAGATCAAAGTACAATATTTATTTTAGAAATTTGTTGCAATCACCAAGAGATACAGGTATCAAGGCCAAATGTCAGTTCCGTTACACAAAGCCCCGCGCAGGGGAAGAGCGTGTGGCTGCTCTGCCATAATGTAAAGAGACATCAAAGACCAAGCGCGCTGCAAAAGTGCGCAGCCGGGAGGGAGGGAGCGAGCCCGGGAGGGCTAGGAGAGCCCCAAACAGCGCGGAGGCTGCGGGGGGCGGGGGTCAGTTCAAAGAGGTATCCGCTGGGGCGTGAGTTCACAGGAGGGAAGATTTAATGGGCTTTCCTTTGTTGGTGGGTGTATTTGTGCACCGCGGACCCAGGAACTCCTATGCGGTCCTCCCGCCTAGGGGCGGAGGTGGGGGAGCGGCGAATCCGGAGCAAACTTTCGCGGCGGCGGGGGCGGGGAGGTTGAATACCAGTCTCCCGGCGGCCTCGGGCACAGCGGAGCGGCTCTCCAAGCGGCTCTCCAAGCAGCGGGGTTCCGAGGCTGGGAAGTTTGCATCTCAGTTTCTCCGCAGGCAGGCAGGCGGCAAGAGCCGACCAGGTGCAATCTGGGAAAAGAGGCGGGTAGGTGAACCTGCAGGGGCGCTGGTGCCAGGGCACCAGTGTAAGGCGGCCCTGCTCTGCTCGCTGTAGGATCCCCTGTGGGATCACCTCTGTGGGTGCTACTTCGCGCCCAAGCCTGATACTTTGCCTCGAGCGTTTCCTTTCAGCAACTGGACACCCACACCTCCAACCATACACTCTACTTGATTTTTTTTTTTTAAATCTGTACATTATTTAGGTTATCTCAACAAAGTCTTCACTCACTGGCCTTTTACAGAGAGCAGTGTTCTGGCACCCTCCTGCCAGCTTTCCAATTGCCTGTATCTGCCTAGATAGTACCAGTCCTTGCTTTATTAAAGGTGCTGGGAGGGAAGGGGAAAGATTTTTCTTCGTGCATTAATGGGGCTCTGAGCCGCCGGGGGATGCCTATGCGTTCTTTAGTCATCTACAACCAAGCGTTCTCAGAGCAGTCCCTCGGCAGCCTTTTGAAGTCGTGCTATAGCAGAAAGCTTCTATTGTTCTCAGCTCTCAACATGGAAGGGATCAAACTTTGCCTCTTCAATTTGAAAGATTTTTTTTTCTTTTAAATGGCGGTTGGGTGGAGGGATTGCAATCTGATACTAAGTTAACTTGGAGGATTTAGAGCTGTCTCCCTGTTTAAGCTGCAGACCAAATCACAGATGCCCCAAAGCCTATGACTGACGTGGGGGCTCTTTAACATTAATACGATGGAGAATTCAGTGGCAGGCAGTTGTCACACTGGGAACCTGACTTGGCAATCAAGTTTTCCCTTGGAAACTTTTTCTTCCAAGGAAAGGGGAATATTTCCCCAACTAGAAACCTTGAGTTCACTGTAGGCTTAAGCTGAAATAATCACTATGTAAGTGACATAAAACTAGGAGTGCTGCATTATCTCGTCTAATTCTACTTCATTTGATGGCAAGAGGAAAAAGCATTTGCATGATTTTGTGCTGTGAACTTCAGTTGATATTCAATAAATGCTTATTGATAGTGAGTGGTAGAGTGGAATTGTGTGTTCCAATGTCACTTGTATCACGATTGGTGCCACAGAGCTAATAACTCATGTCCTTTCCCATCTGTGGAAGCTAAAAAGTGGATTTCATAGATTCAGAGAGTTATCAGAAGCTGTGAAGGGTAGGGTGGATGAAGAATAAAGAGAGGTTGGATAATGGGTATAAAATTACAGTTAGAGAAGGAATAAGCCCTGTTCTGTAGCACAGTAGAGTGACTATAGTCAACAATAATTTATTGTATATCTCAAAATACCTCGAAGACTTTGGATGTTCCCAAAACAAAGAAATAATAAATGAGATGATGAATATGTTACTTATTCTGGCTTGATCACTACATACCATATACATATATCAAAATATCACACTGTACCTCATAATTTACGCATGCCTGTAATCCCAGGGACTTGGGAGACTGAGGGAGGAAGATCACAAGTTCAAAGCCAGCCTCATCAATTTAGCAAAACCCTGAACAATTTAGTGAGACCCTATCTCAAGAAAAAAAAAAAAAGGGCTGAATGTAACTCAGTAATTCAGTGGTAAAGTGGCCCTGGGTTCAATGCCCAGTACCTAAATAAATACAATGACTATCAATTTAAAATTTTCTATCATTTATAAGCTTAAAGAAAGGATAAGGTGAGATCTTTTCCTTACACAGGAAAAATTAACCACAAGTTGATCATAGTTCTTAATATGAGTCAAACTCTAAAACTCTTAGAAGTCAATCTTTAGGACGTTAGATTATACAAAGACTCCTTAGGTATGACACTGTTATGATTTGGATATGAGGTGTCCCCCAAAAGCTCAGGTGTGAGACAATGCTAGAAGGTTCAGAGGAGTTGTGAGTCTTAATCTAATCAGCGATCAGATCTCTGATGGGATTAATTGAATGGTAACTGAAGTGGTAGGGTGTGGCTGGAGGGGTGGAAATTGAGGCATGGCTTTGGGGTATATATTTGTATCTGGCAAGCAGAGTCTCTCTCTCTCTCTGCTTCTTGATCAGCATGATGTGAGCTGCTTCCCTCCACTACACTCTCCCACTGTGATGCTCAA